CAAGCCACCAGATTCAGGACTTGAACCCTGGTCAGCCATGTGGGAGTGTCCAGCACCTGCACCACCACGCCACCTACTGGTCCCGGTGCTGGTAAATTCTTTCAGGTTTTGTTTATCTGAGAATGTTCTTGTCTTTCTTCCCACATGAAAGATAATCTTGCCGGGTACAGTATTCTTGGCTGAAATTGCATTTCTCTTAACACTTTGAATATATTTTCCCATTCTTTCCTCGCTTGCATTGTTTTCGATGAGTCTGCTGTTAGCCTGATGGGATGTCCTTTGTAGGTAACTTGATGTTTTTCTCTTGCCAGTCTTAGTATCTTGTCTTTGCCTGTGGTTTTGGTCAACTTGGCTATAATGTGTCTTAGAGAAGATCTTCTTGGATTGATTCTATTTGGGGTCCTTTGTATTTCTTGGGACTGGATCTTGGAGTGCCTCTCTAGGATTGGAAAGTTTTCTTGCAGGATTTCATGGAATAGATTATCAATGCCCTTATGGGTCTCCTCACCTTCTGGAATGCCAGTTATCCGGATATTTGGATGTTTGATGGTACCTAGTACTTCTCGTATATTATTCTCATTTTGGGGGGCAATTTATTCAGTCTCTGTGGTGGATTTTTCTAGGCCAGCAATTTTCTCTTCTTTGTCTAAGATTCTGTTTTCTGTATGATCTAGTCTGCTTTTAATATTTTCAAGGGAGATTTTGACTTCCTGTATTATAGCTTTCATCTCTAACAGTTCTGTTTGATTCTTTTGTAAAGTGTGTAATTCCTCTTTTAGATCTTGCAAGAATGTCCTCACCTCCTGGAACTCATCAGCTCCTTTCTCCTTTCTCTTCAGCAATTCATTGTCTTTCTTCTCTTCCATCTCTGTTAGCTTCCCCATTATGAATGTTCTGAATTCTTAATCAGACATTTCCATGAGTTTCATTGTACTGCCTATGGATGAAGAGGAGTTACTCTTTACCCTTGGAGGAGAGGTACTTTCTCACTTTCCCATATTTCTTGTGGTCCTGCGCTGATTTCTAGTCATCTGATGGATGGTGTGTTTCTTCCCAGTTCTTCAAGTTCTATCACTCTAGCTTGTTTGCTGGAAGCTGAGTTATCAGTACAAAATTTTCATTTGTCTTTTACCCTGAAATCACTAGGTCGCAGGAGCCATGAGGAATCTTCTCCTGAAGCGAGTCTAACCTTTTAATGTAAACTATATAATACTTTCTCTTTATCTTCAGTGTTCTCAAATTTCAGAATTTCTTTAATCGCTCCAGTCATTCAGTAGCTCTTTCAATCAGGAATGTCAAGGCCTTTAGGTCTGGGAAATTTTATTTTATTTATTGTTTTAAGTTATTTTATTTGGAACCAGCAGATGGTGTAATGGTTACGTCACTAGACTCCCACATAATTGCCCTTGGTTCAAGACCCAGATCCAGTGGCTTAAAGCTCACGCTGAGTGCATGTCTGTGCATGCCCAAGATCCCAAGAAGAAAATGGAGGAGAAGGGATTGCAGCATGGCCATACCTCATGGGAGGTAGACTTTTTGCTTTCTGTTTCTCTGTCTCTGTCTGTATATTTGGCTAGCACATGTGCCCTATAGCAAAAAATGTCTCAAGAAAATTATTTTACTTAATTGTATTAATTGTCATAATTTTATTTTTATTTTTTAAAAGTCAACTGGAGAGAGGGAAGGAAAGTGAGAAAGTAAGCTTCCAGGTCCAGGACTTGAACCACAGTCCGCCAAGTGGGAGTCCACCCGCCTTAACTACCATGCCACCTGCCAGTCACAGGTCTGGAAAAGTTATTATATTCCACTTAATAATTCTGTCCCAACATTTTCTCATTTTCTTAGTATATAGAATGCCAACTCTTTGAAATTTTCTTCCTATAATTCTATCGCTGATTTTTCTATTTTTTTGGAGAGATTTCCTTGATTTTATTTATTTATTTATTTTTTTGGAGAGATTTTCACTGTAGGGCGCGTGCACTCGCCAGACAGACAGAGAGAGACAGAGAGACAGAAAACAAGAAATCACCCCCCCAGAGGGGATGGTCATGCCGCAATACCTTCTCCTCCATTCTCCTCTCAGGATCTTGGGCACGCACGCACACGTGCCCAGCGTGAGTTTTAAGCCACCGGGTCCAGGACGCGAACCGCGGTCGACTCTGTGGGAGTCCAGCGACATAGCCAATATGCTAACTGCTGGTTCCCTTTATTTATTTATTTTGAGAGGTTTTTGCCATAGAGCACGTGCACTCGCCAGAAAGATAGAGAGAGACAGAGAGATAGAAAGCAAGAAATCACACACACACACACACACACACACACACACACACACCGTGGGGATGGTCGTGCCACAATCCCTTCTTCTCCGTTCTTCTCTCGGGATCTTGGGCACGTGTGCACACGCACCTGGCATGAGTTTAAGCCACCAGGTCAGAGACTCAAACCGGGTTGATTACGTGGGAGTCCAGCAACATAGCTATTATGCCAACATCTGGTCCCTTGATTTTATTTTTCAATTACCCAAGTGAATGTGTATTCTTAGTTTCTAAGGGTTGTTTCTTATTCTCCATCCCCTTTCTCTTATTTTGTGTATCCTGTCCTTGTATCATATAAAAGTTCATTTTTCAGTTGAAACAAGTTCAGAGATGCAATGATACCCCATGGTACGGTAGTGATCCAAACTCCTACCTTGCCTTTCCACTAATCTAGTATCTCCCTTCCTTTTTAATTACCCTAAGACTCTTAGTGGGGCTGCGAAGAAAGGAAGAATGTCTCCCAACTCAGCCTCTTTTTTTTTTTTTTTTTTTGCTATAGTGTGTGTGCACTGTAGTGTGTGTGCACTGGCTGGAGAGAGGAGCAAGAGAAAATGAGAAATCTCTCCCCCGGGGAATGGCCACACTGTAATCCTTTCTCCTCCATTCATTTCTCTTCTTGGAATTTTGGAAACCGTGCACACGCTCTGTTTCTGGCATGTTTTTGCCATAAGGTGGGCGCCATCATGCCCCATGTCCCATGCCTGACGTATTTTTTAAGCCTCTCAGTTCGGGACTCAAACTGCAGAGTCAAACATGTGGGAATCTAGCACCTTAACCGCCATGCAATTTGGCTGGCCTCCAACTGAGCCTTTTAAGCAGTCTTCACAAAGGTTTCCCACAATTTAATGGTCAGAATTTCATCACGTGATGGTATCTAACTAAAATGGAGACTGGAAAATGAAAGCTAACTTATTTGAGGCTTCAACATTCCCATTTAAAAATGACAAGAAAGGGGGGCCAGCAGGTGGCACAGATGTTAAGGGCGCTGGACTCCCATATGGCCGACCACAGCTCGAGTCCCGGACCTGGTGGCATGCTTTCTCAGTTTCTTTCTCTCTCTTGCTCTGACCTCTCTGGTCAAATTAATATGAAATAAATAAATAATTTTTTAAAATACTTATTTTATTTAATTTTATTCATTCATTCATTCATTCATTTTAATTTGATCAGAGAGAAAGAGAGAGAGAGAGAGAGTGAGAAAGCAAGCTACCAGATCCGGGACTCGAACCTCAGTCGACCATGCAGGAGTCCAGTGCCCTTAGCCACTCCGCCAACTGCCAGCCCCATAAATAAATAATTTTTTTTTTTGGAGAGTTATTTTTGCTATAGGGCGCGTGCGCTCGCCAGACAGACAGAGACACAGAGACAGAAAGCGAGAAATCACCCCCAGGGGGGATGGCCACGCCGCAATCCCTTCTCCATTCTCCTCTCGGGATCTTGAGCACGTACGCACACGCGCCCGGCGTGAGTTTTAAGCCACCAGGTCTGGGACGCGAACCGTGCTCGACTACGTGGGAGTCCAGAGACATAGCCATTGCGCTAACTGCTGGTTCCTTAAATAATTTTTTTTTTTTTGAGAGATTTTCACTGTAGGGCGCGTGCATTCACCAGACAGACAGAGAGAGACATAGAGACAGAAAGCGAGAAATCACCCCCCAGGGGGGATGGTCACACCGCAATCCCTTCTCCTCCACTCTCCTCTCGGGATCTTGGGCACGCACGCACACGCGCCCGGCGTGAGTTTTAAGCCACCGGGTCCGGGACACGAACCGCGGTTGACTACGTGGGAGTCCAGCGACATAGCCATTATGCTAACTGCTGGTTCCCAATAAATATTTTTTTAAAAAATGATGAGAAAGGGGAAAATTGATGTTGAGATAGGTGCTTTAAGTTGAACCTTCCACAAAACCCAAATCTTCAGATGTCCCTAAAGAATCCATCTCCTAGAAATCTTTCAGCTGTGGAGTGGCAGGGGCACGTTTATTTCGGCCTTTGTCAGAACAGCTTTCAATATAGATTGTAATGCTTCTTTCTACCAGGAGTTGGCAAACTTTTCTTAAGGGCCTTGGTGGGCCATACTCTCTGTCACAAGTATTTAACTGTCCGTTGTAGCTAAAGAGCAGCCATACACATTATGTGAATAAATGGGTGAGTCTACGTTCAATAAAATGTTATTTTCAAAAGCACGTAGCCAGTCCGTAGGCCCTAGTCTGACAACCCTTGGCTTGTATCAATGTTTTATAAACCATTTAGGAAAGCCTTTAATGCCCCAATACAGCAAGAGTGTATGCTTCTTTGCTTTTCTTTCTCTTATCCTTGATACAGTGATAGACCTGGACCCAGCGGAGCATCCAGGCCGAAGGCAGTACCTGTTTGCCATGCTGAACGGACAAGATCCTGAGCAAGGACAGTAAGTATCTGTTTTCCACTTGCAAGGGAAGGGGGTATTAAGATAGGAACTCAAGAGTTTGAGTCTGGCTTTATACCGATGCTGAGTATTTTAATAACTTCTTTAGAGCTAATTCACTCTTTTTTTTTTCTTTTTGGAGAAGTTTTTGCTATAGGGCGTGTGCGCTCACCAGAAAGACACAGAGAGAGAGAGACAGAGAGACAGAAAGAGAGAAATCACCGTCCGGGGGGGATGCCCACGCCACAGTCTCTTCTCCTCCATTCTCATCTTGGGATTTGGGGCACGTACACACACGCGCCCAGTGTCAGTTTAAGCCACCGAGTCTGGGACTCAGACCGCAGTCGACTACATGGGAGTCCAGTGACATAGCCATTACGCCACCTGCCGGTCCCAGAGCGAATTCACTCTTAATGAACTTCCCACCTACCTGAGTCTAACTTACATCTGTGACTTATCAGTTATTAAAATTTCAGAGACTTAGCCCCTTTCTCACCTGTGCCAGCCCACGAGGAGCTCTTTTTTTGGGTAGCAATATTCTTGCATATAGACACTGTCCCATATGGAATGGTCAAAATATTTGACCTTCTCTTATAATTTGATTTGTTTCGTACACACGCAGTACTAGCTCGCCAAACATTATGCCATTGTAGTATTTATTTTAGATTTAGATTTTTTTAAAATAATAATTTATTTAAAAATGTTTAGAGATTTTTGCCTTAGGGCATGTGTACTCACCAGAGAGAGAGACAGAGAGAGTGAGAAGGAAAGTGAGAAATAACCCTCCAGAGCAGATGGGCACACCTCAACCCCTTCTCCTCCATTCTCCTCCCAGATCTTGTGTATAAACACATGTGCCAAGCATGAGTGTCAAGCCATCTGGTCTGAACTGGTACTGCGGTAGGTCATGTGGGAGTCCGGCAATCTAACTGCTATGCCACCTACTGGACACTTAATTTTATTTTAAAAATTATTATTATTATTAAATTTGTTGTAGGACACATGCACTCACTCCCAAGGGGGATGGTCACTGCAATCCCAGGATTTTGGGCATGCACAGACACGCACCCAGCATGAGTTTACTTTTTGGGTTTTTTTGGAGAGGTTTTCGCTATAGGGCGCGTGCACTCGCCAGACAGACAGACAGTGACATAGATTCAGAAAGCGAGAAATCACCCCCCAGGGGGAATGGTCACACCGCAATCCCTTCTCCTCCATTCTCCTCTCGGGATCCTGGGCACGCACACATACACGTACCCAGAGTGAGTTTAAGCCACCAGGTCCAGGGCTCAAACTGTGGTCGACTACATGAGAGTCCAGCGACACAGCCATTACACCAACTGCTGGTCCCAAAATAAATAATTTTTTAAAGAGTTCAAAAATTATGGAACCAGCAGGTGGCATGGTAGTTGGGGCACTGGACTTCTACATGGCTGACTATGAGTCAAGTCCTAGACCTGGAGGCTTGCTTTCTTGCCTTGTCTCTATCTGGTCAAATTTTAAGAATAATAACAATGAATAACATTAAATAATAATTCTAAAACTAAGGTCTGAAATTAGAAAGTGGTGATGGTTGCACAACATTGATTATACTAAAAAACACTCAACTGCATACTTTAAAATGGCTGGGACCAGTGTGGTGGTTAAGGCACTGGACTCCCACATGGTCAACTATGGTTTGAATCCCAGACCTGGTGACTTAAAAGTCATGCCGAGAGTGCGTGCATGCATGCCCAAAATCCCAAGAGGAAAATGGAGAAGGAATTGTGGTGTGGTCATTCCCCCTGGGGAGTGATTTTTCACTTTCCCTCTGTCTCCCTGTCTGTCTCTGGTGAGAGCACATGCACTATGACAAAAACCTAAAAACCAATGAAAAAAGCAAAAATGGTTACAGTTGTGTATTTTATGTTACATGCATTTTTTTCTTCTCTTTTTAAATTGCCAGAGAGTGCTTGTGCTTGCCAGAGACAGATGACAGAGAGGAAGAGAGGAAACAAGTATTACCCATTAGTGCTTGATCATGCCACAATCCATCGTCTCTCCATCTTGTCTGGATTTGGAGCACACGCTTACTTGCATACAGCCTGTGTTTTAAGCCGCCAGGCTGGACTCAGACCACATGGTTGGCCATATGGAACCTGGCTCCTTTAACCAGTAGGGCATAGGCCATTTATCTTTAAAAATTGAATAGGATATTTCTATCTTGTACCAGCTTCAGGAATCCAGTATTGTTTGCAAGACTAAGTCAGGATAATGGTAATTGTTTCTGAATGCTCACTGCTTTCAGGGCAGTGACGTGGACTTTACAGTACCATCTTTCAAGACACAAACTCTAAAGAATATAATTTTTATGCTTGTTTTACCAGTTTACACTATTTCCTTTACTATGTTTAGGCTTAGTATCCAACTTTTACCCAAAAATCTCTCTTGGGCTGACCCTGTGTACTAGTGGTTAAGGGAAGTTCGATCTCACATGACCAGCCATGGTTTGAATCATGGTCCTGGCAGCTTGAAAAACATGCTTGGGATGTGGCCGGCAGGTGGTGTGGTGGTTAAGGGTGTTGGACTCCCACATGGCCGACTGCGGTTCGAGTTCCAGACCTGGCGGCTTGCTTTCTCACTCACTCTCATTCTGTCCTCTCTGGTCAAAATTAAATAAGTAATTCTTGGGCTGGCAGGCGGCTTGGTGGTTAAGGGCACTGGACTCCCACATGGCCGACTGCGGTTCGAGTTCCAGACCTGGCGGCTTGCTTTCTCCCTCACTCTCATTCTGTCCTCTCTGGTCAAAATTAAATAAGTAATTCTTTAAAAAAGAAAGAAAAGCATGCTTGAGCATGTGCGCCCCAAATCCTGACAGGGTGGAGGGATGAAGTCGACGGGTAGATGGGATTGTGGAGTGCTCATACCCTGTTGGGGACGGGGGAGGTGCTTTCTCCTATCTCTCTCTAGTGAGCACATACTTTCTGGCAATTAAAGAGAGGAAAAACTCCCCCCTAAGTTCCATTATCTTGTGTTTTGGTACACCTTTCACTGCCCATACCAAGTCTCCAAAAAATTGCAAATCTTACTAGAAATGCTATCTTGACAAGTTTTGAGACAACTTGATCAGCTACATTATCTCATCTTAGCTCCTTCTAAAGACCTGTTGGTATTTGTCATCTTGTGAAATGGAGGCAAGGGCAAGGTGGTTGAGGGAAGACAATGGCTTATGATTACTTAATTTTTTTAAGAATTATTTTATTTAACTTTATTTACTACTATTATTATTTTCCAGTTTGATGAGAGACAGATAGAGAAAGAGAGAAAGCAAGCCACCAGGTCCAGGACTTGAACCACAGTGGGCCATGTGGGAGTCCAGTGCCTTTAACCACCACGCCACCTGCTGCCCGCCCCCCATGATTACTTTAATTTTCATTTTATTTTTACAGCCTAAGATTATCTGCAATGCTTAGTAAATATGGATTTTTTTTTTTTTTTTTTTTTTTTTTTTAATTTTTACATTTTTTTTTTTTTTTTTTAGTTTAAAGTTTACAGTTGTAAGTGATCCTATGGATGAAGAAAAGAATGAATGTCAAGAAGTAGGATATGCTTATCTTGAACTGTGGCAGATCCTGGAATCAGGAAGAGATATCCTAGAACAAGAACTAGATAGTGAGTAATATGTTTTTGTTTTTCAATTTCATTTATTTCTAAGAATGTCATCCTAACAATGAATACTTTTTTTGTGTCTTTTCTTTTTGTTTTCTCTATATCTATATAACTTTCAGTACATAATTATCACTGTAAAGTTGGTGAGATACAAACTAAACTGAAGTCATATCCCTAGAAGCTACATTTATTTCTAGGTCAAGCATGAAAATGTTCAGTGTATATTTAAGCCCCATGTAACTCATTAGAACTTGAATCTATTTTGGATCTAAAATGCTTAAGATAGAAAACCTTTTTTTTTAAAGAATTATTTTATTGGGGCCAGCAAGTGGCATATTGGTTAAAGGCACTAGACTCCCACATGGCTAACCACAGTTCGAGTCCCAAACCTGGTAGCTTGCTTCCTCACTTTCCCTTTCTCTCTGTCTGGTGAAATTAAAAAATAATAAATAAATAAAGAGTATAATTATTTCTAAAGAAATAATTATTTTATTTAACTTTATTTATTTATTTAATTTGACCAGAGAAGGACAGAGAGCAAAGGAAAGTGAGAAAGCAAGCCACCAGGTCTGGGACTTGAACTGCGGTTGGCCATCTGGGATTCCACCACCCTTAATCACCATACCACCTTCCGGTCCCAATAGGAAAACTTTAAAAAGTTATTTTAATGGGAACCAGCAGTTAGCGTAATGGCTATGTCGCTGGACTCCCATGTAGTCGACCGCGGTTCGCATCCCGGGCCTGGTGGCTTAAAACTCACGCCGGGCACGTGTGCATGTGTGCCCAAGATCCCAAGAGGAGAATGGAGGAGAAGGGATTGCGGCGTGACCATACCCCCGGGGGGTGATTTCTCGCTGTCTTTAATGTCTCTATCTGTCTGGAGAGTGCACGTGCCCTATAGTGAAAATCTCTCCTATATATATATATATTTTTTTTTAAAGACTTCAACTAAATTTAAATATCATACTCTCTGACATCTCTTAAGCATGTAAGGTTTGTAAAGGCAGCTAATACCCCTTTGCCATTGTTATCATGTATCCAGTCCCTAAACTATAGACACCAACCTTCCCTTCTTCCCTCATACCTGCTGGCCACCAAAACTTGATCCATTCTCCTGGTCTTCATTACAGTCCTACTACTCTAATAGTTTCCTAAACTGGTCTCCCTGCTCTAGTTTCTTCCACTCCATCTCCCCCGACTACAGTAAACATTTCTCCATAAGAAACCTTTTAAATATTTTTTTAATTTTCCAGAGGGTATATGAGCTTGCCAAAGAAAACACTTCCCTTTTTTGTTTCTTTTAATAATTACTGGGACTAGTAGATGGTGTAGTTTGTCACTGGACTCCCACATAGTCAACCATGGTTCAAATCCCAGACCTGGTGGCTTAACTGCACGTCGGGTGCATGTGCATGAATGAGTGCCTAAGATCCTGATAGGGGAATGAAGGGATTGCAGCGTGGCCATCCCCTTTGGGGTGGTGGTGGTGGTGGTGATTTCCTGCTTTCTGTCCCTCTTTCTGGTGAGCTCATGCACACTACAACAGAAATCTCTGTTAAAAAACAATTATCATTACTACTATTTTTAAAAATTTGGGACAGGGCACATGGACTCACCAGACACAGAGAAAGTGAGAAAGCCGCTAGGTCCAGGACTTGAACCGCAAATGGACATGTGGGAGCTCAGCACCTTAACCACTATGTCACCTGCTGGTCCCAAGAATGAACTTTCAATGGGGCATGGTCATGCTGCAACCCCTCCTCTGTTTCGCTCCTTTCAAGATTTTGGGCATGCAAGCACACACATGAACCCACTCCATTTTTCAAGTCGGCTGATACAGACCTCCAATGCAATGTGGTGTCTAGCCACCTTAACCACCAAGCATTACTGGCTGGCTTGACTTTTTATTCATTCATTCATTTTAATTTGGTGGGGGGGTGCGGGAGGGAGAGCGCGCACAAGCAAGCCACCAGGTCTGCGACTCAAACCATGGTTGACCACGTGGAAGTGTTGAGCACCTTTCCCACCACACCTGCTGGTCCCTTCACCCTCTGATCTAAAACAAAACTGCTTTCTGGCTCTATAAGCCAACTTCTACCAATTAAAACTTCGCTACTTAAAATACTTGCTGAGGGGTATACTGGTTAAGGTGCTGGACTCCCACACGGCCGACTGCACTTTGAGTCCCAGACTGAATGGTTTGAAAATCATGCTGGGTGTGTATGTGCCCAAAATCCTGAGAATGAAGACTGGTGTGGCCATCTCACTTGTGGGAGGGGGGTGAATTCTTTCCAGCAAGCGTATGTGCCCTATGGCAAGAAATGAAATTAATACATGTATGTATGTGTGTGTGTGTATACATGCTGCATGTCCACAATACTATCTCTATTTCTATACTTTCCTGCACAATGTTAAGTTTTCTTAACTGCCAAAATCCAATTGGTTTTACTCATGTTACTAGATCTTTCTAAACTTAGGAATCACTGTTCATCTTTTTACTGTTCTCTGTTGGTTTCTTAAAACACTTAAACTCTTATCACTCTGAGTGGTCCCTCTATTTCCTTTGTGGGTTTCTTTGGGTCTATTCTATTGAATGTTGGCTTCTCCTGGTTCAATTTTTTTATCTTTTTCCCCAAATATCCTCTTCCTTGGTGATTTCATCAAAAATGCTCTTTACAGACTAGACAGTATCAAATCTAGGTTTCTAGGCCAGATTACTACAATCTAGATTTACAGTAGACTAGTAAAATTACTTATACATGTCCCTTTGGTACCTGAAAACTCCCCAGACAACTCTGAACTTTGTATTCCCTTTTACCCATTATCCGTTCTTGTGTAAGTTGGCTTACAGTCAACCTGGACTCCTTTTCCTCACTCCCAACATTCCATCACACAACTCCAGCCTGCCTCAACCTCTCCACCCCTCCAATACTTCACAACCTCCTCACTGCCCAGGAATTGCTGCAATAGCCTAACTACTCGCTCTGGTCTACCTGTGCCCCCTTCAAATATATTCTCCAAATAATGGAGTCATTTTAATGCATGATCTGTCACTTCTGATCCCTTTGATTAGAACCTAATTCTTTAGAAACAGGCCTTTATGACCTGGGCCCCCGCTTCTCTGTGCAGCTCCATTTCTGCCACTCCTTGCAGCTTGTTCCAAACCTGTCATGTTCTCGTGTCTTAGCCCACGCTTCAGATGTCTTATACTTTCCTGAAACTTAGCTCATGATTGTCTCTAGAAACCTTCTGATTTCTCCATCCTGTTGAAAAGCTCTACATGTCACCCCCTTGAGCTTTCCTGACAGCACCAATATACAATGTTGTAATGACATTTTCTTTCTCCTCTACTGAGTCTTCCCATGAACTGACAGTTACATAATTTATTTAACTAACTGCCTCAGTACCGAGCATGACAAATACCAAGTATTACAGCATTGAACTGAATGATATCCTGCTCAACACTTTTTCTCCCCTTTCCCAACAGTTGTTAGCCCCGAAGACCAGGCTGCCCTGATAGGAAGGCTGAAGGTGTCCCTTCAAGCAGCTGCTGCCCTCCAAGCCATTTACAAGGAGATGAGAGAAGATTTGTTTTCATGAAGGAACAAATGCTATTGCATTCTAAACTCTGAGGGAACCATAGTAAAAAGTCTCTTATAAAGTAACTTGCTACATGAATTTGTTTACTGTGATGTCTAGACTCTCTCAACCTAATGATGAAAGTTAAAAATAATGAGAGGTTTTTTTGGTTGGACAGAATCATTTTTCTATAATACCTTAGCACTCTAACAGAGAGGCAGCCTGCTTTTAGGAATTGCAAAATAATAGTTGGTCACAAAAAGCGAATTTACAAAAGCAAAAACAACAACAACAAAAAAAAAAACCACAGTTTATTTATCTTTTAGTTCTTCCAAAATTGAAAATATCAAGTCCTACTGCTAAGGAGAAAAAACAAACAAACATAAAATCCGAGAACCCTCCCCCCCTTCTCTTAAAGTCACAGAACACATAAGGAACTGCAGTGGGACAGGTGGGTGCAGAGAACCAGGAGGGGAGGATGGCAAGACAAACTCCCCAAATACTTAAAGAACTGTTCAACAGAATCTGTGATAAATACAGGACAACGCAAGACAAGTAAAAATAAGGAGCAGCAGTGACGAGAGGCTGTGTTGTAGATATGGTCTCCCTTCCTCTTCTCTTTTCTTGTCAGGTTATTCTAGGCCCAAGGCATGACTTGCCCCTGCATCTAAATGTTGACTCCTTTGAGCCTCCCTTTAGATTTCACTAGAAGCAGTATACGAGGCACAACCATTCTTCCTTAGATATAGCAGAAAAGAAAGGAGACAGTGGTCATTCTGCCTTCTACCATTGTACCATGTGTGAGTTTGTAAGGAGAAATAATGGAGCCAGGGAGTGCCACTGCTTCTTCTGTCTTCCAAGACAGCAGAAATACCTCAGAATCTGCATAAGAAAAGAAAGCAGGAAAACTCAGACAAGTTACCTTCCGATCTGCCTCACAAGCTGCCTCACAAGCGCACCTTGTATGGTTTATCACAACCATTAGCAAATCCAAGACCCTTAAATATTGCAAAGATGGATCTTAAAAGAGGCGGATATGGCAGTCGAATAGGATGGAGGATTCACTCTGCTGGTCAAGAAACATGGTACAGACAGTTAAAGGTTACCTTATACCATTGTCTTGGAAATACAGCTCTGAGACATCAAAGATTAAGATGTCAGAAGCCATCAATGTCCTGGAAGAAGGTGACAGGAAGAGAGAGGAATGAAACGGTATTTATTAACAGTGGGAGCCTTCGCCCTTCTTCAAGAACACCTCCTCCCTTGCCATATGAATGGGGCCATTGGCACATTTCCTGGTGGGCCTGGAATTCCCCGAGTAGATTGGTCCACACAAATGGCCCCCTAAACCCATAAACACGAATGGCAAAACTTTAAAGAAAACAAAAAGAAAAATACAGTTTCTATATCTTGTAAAATTCTCAGGGGTTGGCTGGAGGAAGAATGGAGCTCAGAGCCAAAGTTCAGAAGTTACTTCCTCTTTTTCTTGGGGGGTGCAGAGCTGTGTCTGGAACCACGGTTAGAGCCACGGCCTGAACTGTGCACAGATGCCTTCCTCTTCCGGCTCATACTTCGACTTTGTTCTTCTTCTTCCTCATAACGACTTTCACGGTCGGCTAAACAGAAGAAAGAGGTGTTACTAGTTAGCTATAGGTTAGCTTTAGGTGCCTAATATTACAGAAAAACATGAAACAGTACAAAGACTAGATTGCAGAGGAAGGCCTACATTTTAATTTTTACTCAGTCACTTACTAGCTATGTGGCCCTGGGCAAGTACTTAACCTGAGTCTTGGTTCATTTAATTACATAAAAGAGAATTATTTAAGGATTAAATAAGATAATATATGCAAAGTACCTATATCACATGGTGGATGACAAATATTTCTTTTTAATCTCTAACCTATACTTGAGATTTGGCTTCAGAATAGTTAGAGTAGCACTATAAAGACATTCTTAACCTGGAAGAGGCCCAGAAAGTTAAGACTATGACAAGACTCAAGAGCCTAATTCTGGAGCCATATGTGATTATGTGCTGTCATGGCAGCAGACACACTGGGAGCCTGAACAAATGAAAAAGCACCCAGTGGGGCCAGCAGGTGGCATGGTGGTTAAGGTGCTGGACACTTTTACATGGCCGAACAGGGTTCAAGTCCTGGACCTGGTGGCTTGCTTTCTCACTTTCCCTCTCTCTGTGTCTCTACTCTCAGATTAAATTAAAAATGAATGAATGAATGAATAAAAAATAATAATAATAAAACAATAAAAAAGTACCCCATTAGGAAACGCCATGTCTACCTCTAGAGAATGGACACAATCCAGGTATCATTTTCTCTTCTGGTCAATAAAGTTGAAGTTGTGGCTCTAAATCAAGTTTACAGTATTCTTTTGTTATTCTCATTAGGCTAATACTAACACTTCAAAATACTGAAATGTGTTAGAAATCTAACACATTTATGTTAATAACCAAAACAAAAACGGTAGCAGAAAACATTTTTTAAAACCTTTTCGAGCTTCTTCCTCCAATTCATCCCAATCCTTCCCACTCTCTTCTTCACTGCCCAATGACTCCTTGGAATAGTCTGGAATAAAATGAGTTGAGCATTAGTCATTATGTAGGAATGGAAAGAGACATCAGCATTCTTCACTTCTAAAAAGAGTTTGCAAAAATACTATGAGATTAGGAAGTTTTTCCCTCAAAGACTAACCTGATTCTTCTGCTTCTGATGAATAATCTTCATCACTATCCTCTTCTTCCTCTTCGTAGTCATCTTCTGAAGGATTAAAAGTCTCATCTTCGATTTCAGACTCTGAATCTCCTTCCTCAGCATCACTCCCCTGGTCATTAGAAAGTACATACTACTACTTAATGATTTTTTTTTTTAACATTCACTTTCAATAACTTAATGAATTAATTCAACCCACTTAGTATACCAGCAATTTACATGGGAAAGAAACACAAACACCCTGAGTGACCAAGAGATAAAAAGACTTGTCTAAAATTACCGGTAAGGTACAATTATTAGATACCTTGAACATCTAATTCATATTTCTAAATGATTGGCTCTTCCTTCCTTATTCAGGGAAATCAACAACAGACTCTAGAATAATGCATTATGCAGAGGTGGGAGGACTAATTTTTAGAAAATAACTTTTACAAATACCATGAAGTATTTTTTCCAAATATTTAAAAACTCCTTGAGAGTTTCTGTACTTTCAGGGAAATCTTATCAGGGGCTACCAATGCCTAATCAATTTATTGCTGACCTATAAAACAAATCTGCAGAAGGGGCCAGCCGGTGGTGTGGTGGTTAAAGGCACTGGATTCTCACATGGCTCACCTTGGTTCTAGTTCCAGACCTGGTGGCTTGCCTTTTCACATTCTCTCTCTGTCTCTCTCTGGTCAAATTAAAATAATAATAATAATGATGATGATAAAGTTAGATAAAACAATTCTTAAAAAAAAAACCCCAAAAACAAAAACTAATTTGTAGAAACAATAATACCAAGTTGTGTTCAGAGCACAGCCCCGTTGGTCTGGTTCCTTTGTACTATTAAATGCTATTCTCCTAACTGCCTAAAATGATAGGGGCAACACTGTACCAGAAAAGAAACCCCACACTCACGCACCTCACCCTCAGGCTCCAGGAAAGACCAGCCACCTTGTTCAAAGAAGCCCTCAGGGTCATCAACAATGGTCTTCATGATTTTAGTCCAGTTGAGAGATTGTACTCCTTCTGTGTACTTTAGGTCACAAGAACTAAGAGAAATGACATTACAAAGTCAAAATCAATCCTTAGTATTTTCTGAAAACATCCTGTCATCTTGGTCATCAGCATCCTTAAAGAATAGATACCTTTTCCTACATGAGACCAGATATTCTTTGTGCTGTGTCACTAGAGCATGTCCAGATATTTGATCTTCCAAAGCACCAGCCCTCATAACAAAGCAGCATTCCAACTGAAGGAAGCCTTCTCCATCGTGCAAGTCTAAGACCACCTTGTCCTCTTCTATTTTCTGTAAGCACCAACTTCCCTGCTTTTCAATGAGTCTTTCCTGCCACTCACCTAGCTTTTCCTTCCCCCTCGCTGACTCCTCTTATTTGCAAGTTGTCTTCGCTCACAACCACTTCTGTAATTCTTATTTTTCAGCTCCAATCATTCATACTGCTATAATGAAGAAACAGGGAAAATTCTCACCGGCCATCACTTTCCCATGTCTTGTTTATTTGATGCACAGTCTATCTAAAGGTAGGGAGAGTTTTTTTTCTTTTTTTTTGGAGAGGTTTTTGCTACAGGGCGCGTGCGCTCGCCAGACAGAGAGAGACATAGAGACAGAAAGCGAGAAATCACCCCCCAGGGGGGATGGTCACGCTGCAATCCCCTCTCCTCCTTTCTCCTCTCGGGATCTTGGGCATGCACGCACACGCTCCCGGCGTGAGTTTCAAGCCACCGAGTCCGGGACGCGAACCGCGGTTGACTACGTGGGAGTCCAGCAACATAGCCATTACACTAACTGCTGGTTCCCAAGGTAGGGAGAGTTTTTAAAAAGTAACTGAAGGATTTAGAAGATACCCAAATGACTTTCATATTCGCTTCTGTTGAAGCAAGCACAATCAATTAAAGTAGGCAAGAGAGAAAGAGGGGAAAAAAAAACACCAAGAAATGACAATAAGGTTCAGCATAAGACCTGTCTGAAAATCACTGTGTAAATCCATTTTAGGCAGTATAATTTATGAGGAGACCTCAAAAAACTCGTGGAAAATAGAATTAAAGTATAAGTTTATTTGATTTAAAAAAAATGTTGAAACCCATCCATAAGATTTTTTTTAAAGAGAATTATTTTGCTTAACTATTTATTTAACTATGTAACTGCAGCTCCACCATCCAGTTTTAGTTTTTTCATACTGCATATTTTCAATAAACTTTCTGAAGATCCTGTATATACTGAAATTCTGTTTCTAGCTATGACAGAGTAAAAAGGACTATATTTCCCTTTCTATTTTAAATAACTATTAAACCAAGCACCACTATTGGGGCTGGCAGGGAGCGTGGCAGTTAAGAAGGCTGGACTCTCAAATGGCTGATCACAGTTCGAGTCCCAGACCTGGCAGTCTGATTTCTCACTTTCCTTCTCTCTCTGGTCAGCTTCAATAAAATTAAAAAAAAAAATGAAAATGAAAACGAATGAAAAATAAACAAGACTACCATCTCCGAAAGAAGGAAAGAAACTAAGCTTTGTTTCTTAATTGCCCAGTTTTCTGTCTGGAGGTCGCCTCCAGGTCGCTATGCTGAGATGAAGAACCCAATCAGACCGGATGCTCTCTGGAAGTTGAGAGGGAGAGTAGGACTTGGGGAGCTGAGACACCTAGAATTTGTGGTTGGTGCTCTGAAGGAAAGAGTTACAGAGAAGAGATCTTCAGAGGAGTCATCTCAAGTCTCTGACCAAGCACTGACTAATACAAGTGTGAAAGTAAACTAAAGTCAGCAAGACACACTGGAAGGTAGAAGGCCTGAAAAGTCCCACAGAACTACAACGTGGAGTCACAATATTTGGCAACTGGTCACAAATTCTCAGGCATACAAAGAAGCCAGTAGAGAAATTAACCAAATGGAACTAGGAAATATAAAGATGATGAGTGAAGACAGCAAACAAGAATGC